CAGATTTCATGAGGACTGAGTGTTTGTTAATGCTTTTTGCTTGTTGTTTTAAACTGAGTTACATGCACTCCTGGTTAGCCTGCAGTAACAGCTGACAGCCTGTCTCCTCTTTAATGACCCTACAGTCTCAATTTGTGTGGGTCTGAGTGTGTGTGCATGTTCCAGTCTTGTGTTTTGTGTGTGTATTTGTATTTCCTACCTTCAGTCTCTGAGGGTGCGGCGGCCTCAGGTGAGAGAGTGTCTTGGCCCCAGTCTCCTGTACTGTAGATCTGCACTACCAGGAGTCGCTTCAGTGAAACCAGGTCAGCATCTTTGAGCCCCATCTCCAGCTGATGAACAATGCTGCGGCCTGGCTGGCTGGTCACCAGAGTAACCTGGGGAAGCAGCACAAATATTAAGACAAATAAGAAAGCTCCCAGGAGCACAGACATAGACATTTCATTAGGTTTCCAATGTCAAGGGGCAAGCTGACCTCAATGCAACACAGTGCAAAAAAGTCATCAGGCTCAAAAAGAACTGAGAGGTGCCCTCTTAATGCTTCTTTAAACCACACTGCACAATATTCTGGCCACTACTTGTTTTATGCGCCGACTGATGAGAATGACATCCATGCCATTCACACTACTTCAACTCAAGTGTGCTGCAATTAATCTGTGATGTCTTGCGATGATGTAACCCATTCGCTGCTCTTCCACAACCACACTACACAAACACTATCACTTTTCATTAGCAAGCCACATTGATGTTCTTTGCCACAACTCTTTTCCAAAACCTTTCTGTATTTGAAGTGTTCCAGCTGGTTTTATGAAGGATTATATCAGAGTCACAGGACACAGCAACACCACAACAAAGCATTCTTTATGTCTGACAGTGCTGTGTCTGTTGGGAGTTTGGGGACATGACATGCAGTAAATTACAGTTACTAAAATGAACATGTGATGTCACAACCACTAGATACAAAACAATGTCAGCCCAAAAGGAAAGTGGTACATGCATACTCAACTCTACATTTAAAGACACTCTAAAGGTGCATGACTTTTTTCCTGTCTTTAGTTCTCTTTCTCGGTTTAGATTATTTTATGTTAAATACGCCCAGTTTTGGAGATATTGTAAAGATGTGCCTCTTTCTGGATTTTAACTGACCTAAACGCATTTCTAAGTACTGTATCTCTAAGTTTTTGTTATGTGTTAAGCCTCTTAACACTCATTCAAGCATATAAAGGCAACTAACTCAAGAGCTGAACCTGATAAACGACCTAAGAGATACAGCTGGTCCTTGTGTTATTCGATCTACAATTCACTGAAGCCTCATACGAACTAATTTCAGTGGAAGAGTGGCTGTCAAGAAGCCAATCCCAATTTAAGGAAGGGAAACAACTAGAAAAGACTTAGATATGCTAAATTACACATAAACTGGTTTGAAAATCAGAAGCAACAGCTGATAAATCCACACGTTTGGTTCAAACTATCGTCAATATTTCAGAAGAAGGATAATGACCTACATTATAGGTAAAAACATACCTTGATGGAAAAACATAAAACTACTACTATGGACTACTATCAGTGATGGATTAGCATACACAGAGCCTGAACCTCAACATTATTGAGGCAGTGCCGGAAAGAACAGAACAAAAGTCAGCCAACCTTAAAAAAAGACTTTTGAATGTCCTTTAAAAACCTTGGAAAAGTATTCCTGAAGACTACTTCAAGAAACTGCAATAACACTTGTCTGAGACAGTTCACACTGTGTTATAGAACAAAGATGGTCACATCACATACTGACTTTCAAGTTGTTAGAGTTGCATTTCTGTATCTCTATTTGCATGTTTCAGTAAACTACCTCGCATTTGTTTTACAAAAACACAAAGAAGTGAGGGCAGTTCAACATTTTTGCAAAATACTGCACCTTGACAAAAAATATTTTAAAAACTGTCTCTTTGCAGAAATCCTGAGCTAGTCACTCATCTGAGTTTATTAATGGCTTTTCATTTGAAGATGATGTGAAGATTAATGGCTTCCCCTCTGAATGACCTGTAATGTTGGGTTCTGTATGGAACAAGGTTTGAGGGTCTTTGTGAGTAACTGGGTTACTCAAGATTTCTAGAGAGAGACATTACTGCTGAGATTTTCAAATGTATTTGAGCACCAAAGCAGATGCCTTCAGGTCCTGTTATATTCAAGGGAAGGCGGTATTCTACAGCAGATAAAACTGGAAAACACAACAAAACAATCTAAACAGATAAACAGCATCACAGCCCAAGAGGGAAAACATGTCAACTCGATTTGGGAGCGAGCTATCCCTTTAATTTATTTTTTCTCTCTAACTGAGCTCTCATTATCTGTAAATGAACAAAACTACTGGTAATACGTTTTAAAATGTTTTTACTCATCCGTTATCTTTTTAATAATGAAGATTTCGGCTGAACATTTGGACTAAAGACAGCAACTTAAAATAAGCAGAAAAATGTGATCATGGGAAGAGATGAAATTAGTTTTCTGTGTCATTTACATGGCTAATGGGGGGAAAAAGATAAAATAATGCTAGGCTGACATTTAGCATTCTACTGAATCACATTAACAGTAGCAGGAAATGATGATTGTATTTCGGTTATTGATGAGAGCTGCTCTCGGCTTCCGGCTGTTTAGAAAAAGTGGATGGAAACTGCTGCTCAAGGAGAACACATGCATGCATTAAGCGTCATGTATCTGAATGAAAACATGCATTGTATTGGTGGGCTAGCAAGGCACACACAGACACACATGCAAAGGGCCATGCTTCTGTTTTTTCCGTCTCCTAACAGCGTTATTCATATCTCCTACCCTTGGAAGCAGTGGGTCTTAGTGCAATCATCTGTCCAGTGCCTCATAAAAAGCTGGCTGGAATTTACAAAATCTCGTCAACAACCTACAGCCTGGTGTCCAGAGGACACAATGTTCAGCAGCTACCACAGTTCTTACTGGCTGACTGCCAGCCTGACCCGTACATTAAAAAAATTAGATGTTTTCAGTGAGCTGAAAGCATCTAATTTGTTAAAGTGAGAGCGAACACATGCCATAAACTATCACTTGGTGACACCAAAAATGTTTTCTGCGGTGCGTTATGAGCCTGCATGTTTTTGCATACCATTAGCAAAAAACATTACACAACATTAATAGAATTGAACGGATCTATGAACTTCAGCAGCAGATATGAGCTTTTAGTGAAACTTGTAATGTTACACTTAACTGTTCAATAATGAGTCAATACAACAGGATACAAGAGGATTTACTTTTTGAAACTGACTGCACGAAGCTCACTAAGGAAACTGGCTTCACTATTTCGTACACTGGCGTTAAGTAGCGATACCTGATCCGATTTCCCCTTCAAATGGGGAAACACTGAAACTACTAAAGCTTTTTGCGATGTCCTCTTTCTACAGAGCTGGTTCACAAACAGATAAATAGTAGCTCTTTTGCTCCATTTCATACGTGGACAGGCTTATTTTAAGTGCACTGTTTCATATAAAACATGAAGAGCCATTAGCAGAGGGCTGTTAACAGAGACATGCTAATGAGATTGCCTTGTTCAGTCTGTTTTTTGCAGCTGCTTAATACACTGAATTGGACCTGAGGACAGCTCATTTAATAGGTATGAGTGGAACCTCTATCTTGAATATCCAAAGGGGATCTATTTAGCGTGAGCTGGTCTGCAGCTGAAAAGATTATCCTTGATAATGAAAATGAAGATAAAGTTAAAAAAAAAAGAAATCCAGTGACAACAACTGCAGAGAAAGAAAAATATGTAAATGAAAAAACATGAAAAACTGTGCCTATTATTCTCCTCACAGATCTAATTGACAGTTCAGGGGATGGAAAGAAGTAATTTACCTGCCGCAGGTAATGCTTCGGTTTCGATGGAAATTTCTCAATGTGTTCTCCCACTTAGAAAGCGCTGATGAATCTCATAAAGCTTTTATGATCAACATGCTCCCTGTGCCTCATAGGGGATGTAGCTCAGTGGTAGAGCGCATGCTTCGCATGTATGAGGTCCTGGGTTCAATCCCCAGCATCTCCACTTCTGTTGCCATTTAGAACTATTTAGACTCAGATTTCTGTGCTACAAAGTGGAATTTGAGGACAAGAAACACGATTATGGTTTAATGCTTTGTATTTACTGTAACAGTTAACAGGGTACTCTTATACCACAGATCTAACTGGCTCTCTAGCAGTGTGTGTTCAGTATAATCGATCAGCACTTAGAAACCTACTAAGCAATTTTTTGAAAATAGTAACTGAAAGAGCCTGTTAACCTCTTTGTGCAGATAGTTAGAGGCTTTATATGTGTTTATTACTCCACTAACCATCAGCAAAGTTAAACAGGCTGTGTGTGACACCCTTTCTAAAAGCTGTCTGCCAACTGTAAATGAAAACCAAAGTTAAATTATTCACTAAAAGTTACAGAAGTGTGTACGGTGTTTGTGTCTTCTTTCACTATAAAGACAGAGCTTTCGCACATGTGTGTTTCTTTGGAAGCTGATCAGGATAGTTGCTCTCTGCTTTGTACTGTGGGGCTGATTCCTAAGTCAATGGTAAGAGTGGACTCTGAGAGGAGCTCGCTACCCAGTCCCTGTGACTTGTACAAATGTGCAGTTTTACATAGAAATTCATTTCTTGCTGTGAAGTGTCGCTTCTCACCTCCACAGAGATGTTGCTGCCGGCCTGACTGCCAGCGCTGGTGTGTCTGATGTACTGTTTAAACTGCTGCAGACTGTCCAGCACTGCCTGTCGCAGCAGATCAGCTCCCGCGGCTGCTCCTCTGATACAACCTTCACTTGGAATAGACCTCAGCTCTTCAACACAGGAATGCAGCCTGGCGAAGTTACCACGAACTTGCTAAAATAACAAAAGTGACAGGGAATGAAAAATGGATAAAAATGGGAGATAATGTGGATGACAGAATGCAAAGCAGGAAAAGGGCTGATATTTATGTATGAAAGAAAAAGCAATTATAGGAGAGAAATAATGTGTTTTGCACTGCTTTCAGGAATATTACACTTTTATCCATCTTACCACAAGTGGCAATAGACATTCCCGCTGCCTGCTGACGGCATACAGGCTCAGTAGAGGTATCCTACAGGGCCCATCCAGACTAGAGGCCAGAGACAAGAAGTTGTCGAGAGCATCGCAAAGAACCGTGCGGGTCTCTGACCATCGGGGCGGCAGCGCCTCCACAATTAGGACCCTGGCTGGTTGCCGTGGGAACGACGAGGACCAGAAAACCAAACTTGGAGAGTTGGAAGAAGCTGCTGCCCTCTTTCTGCTCTCCATGATAGCCTGCAAACCACAAACACAATGCTGAAGGAACACATAAAGTACACAAAGACAACAAAAGAAAAATGTAAGGTCTCTTCCCCTGTAATGACAATCACCCTTAGGAATGAACAAGATTCATTAAATAAGTACATTATCTGCAGTCCTAATCATCAGTAGGGAAACTAGAACAGAACAAAATAAACAGAATAAATGAGTTATGCTGCATATGAAAATATGTAGCGAGAAACTAGGTTATAAATCAGTCCATTCTTACATAACTCAGGGCTTTCCTTTAGATCTGAGGAGGATGGTGGGAAAAGAAGTAGTTGAACACTGAAAACATAAGAATATAATCTGAAATGATAACACAGCCAGCTCTGCTGCTCTCAAATGTTCACTTAATCAGAATCATGTTACTATGCTGGAATAAATCATAAATGAAAATATGTAAAACCAAAATGGACAAAATGGAGCATATAAAGAAGACTAAAGTAAGCAACGCTAATGTGTCGAATGCTCCAAATACTGATCAATTTTATCACTGCTGTTTTAAAGATATGATACCGGCAACATGTTTAATATTTTAGAACCTTTAAATTATCTGTTTTGCATAACCAGCAATCCAAAACGCAAAAAAAAAAACCCCCATCATAATATGAAATGTAGTAATTGACAGCTGGGAAATGGGTCTTTGTGAGGGTGACTATGCACATAAGCACAATTCCATGCTTGAGAAAATAAAACCCACTTAAAAAACGGACTACAACACATTTGAAAAATATCAGTACCTCATTTTTTCCTTTTGCATCCGCATTCGGGGAAAACCCCCAAACATATCCTTGCAATATTTCCTGTAGATTTCAGAGGGGTAGATGACTGAACAGTCTGAACATATATATTTTGTAAGAAGGGCCATCTGTGTGGCTGTCAAAAGGAAGCAATCAGTCATCCATCACACAGGATGTACCCAAAGGGTTAAAGAGGGAAACCCCCTAATCTTTCTATAAACAGTTACTCCATCAGAAACCCGTCATTATGGAATATATATCTGCAGCATCGTTGTCTCCCTTTACTGACACACAGCTATTCAGCTGGTTGTTTAATTTCCACAGCTTGTTGAGTGCAGCTGATGGCATTTTGTTGTGTAGTTTACACATAAGGGACTGTGACGTGAATTTCATTTTAAGCAAATAACTGATTAAATTGCTGAATTAATTGCTGATTGTCAAATATGAAGATTTGTTCATTTTTTCAATTCATTGTAAACAGAATATCCTTTGGTATGGGACTGATTGTTATAGCAATTAAGCTTTGACTGGGATGTGCAAATTAGCACACTACTTGACTGATATGTTACAAAATGAAATTACTCTGAGACATAGGATATATCATGTCTATGTAAAACACACTTAAAAACCTGAAATAGTAAAGGCAAGTCATAGGCCTGACTCAAGGCTAAAAACAGAAGCAAATACAACAGATTTAGAGCCATTACTAGAGAGCTTGGAGTGGACTTATCAGGGCAAAACCATTGACAGAAATAATCCCTCAAAGGCTGAGCTCCGAGCACTCTTTATCATCCCAGGTCTTTTAATCCTGTATCCCCAGGCCCTGCTCTATTGTTGTCTTCAATATAAAGGGCACATTGTGTAAATATGTGCATTGTTTGATTGTGTGCCCTTTTCATCTACCTCTGACTCAGTTCTCCTCTTCTAAGCCAAATTCTGTGCTTCCCACCACCCAGATCAAATATCTTTCACCTTCACACCTTGATCTTGCATCACCTCTAAGCCTAGACTCTGTTCAAAGACAAATAAATGTAATCAGATTCAACCCAGTAGCTAAAAAAATGAATCCTTTTGCCACAGGGGTTTTGGGTTGGTTATTCACTGACCTAAAAAAATATTTCAGGCATTACTTAGTGGTGTGAATTTAACATCACACTACAGTGACACAAACACATCTCTTTTTGTGCAGCTTTAATAAGCCAAGCAATCCATACTGCCTGTGGTCATGTCTTTAATCAAATTATATTACCTCAAATAATAGGTGGCAAGAAACATTAATTTATTAGTATTTAAAAACTAAACACATGTAAATTAGATTATTCTTAGATTAGAAAGCTGTTATATTAATTTTAGCTAGGATTAGCAATTTATACCTTGCAAAGTTTAGCTAACATTACCTTGCTGAGGTTAAGTTCCAACTTCTCTGAAAATAGCTTCTGCTGGACGGTCTGTTATGTCAAGTAGACAGGTTAATAAAAGTATATAGAAAAGAGAAAACCAACAAACTTTTGCGATACAACATGCACAGGCTCTGCTTCTTATCAACAAAATAGCTAACCTAGACCTGATAGTTAGTCGGTTAGCATGCTAACGTTAGCTAGCTAACAGTAGGCCTGTAAATACATTTGGTAACCTGAATCCAGAACAGCTTCAATACAAAAGGGCATAAATAACATAATAGAGACACAGCACCAATAATTTTACACTGGGAGTTAACTAAACTTACTTTGAAACAATTTCTAGTTTACTCTGCTAATTTATTAATCCTGAATAAAACTGACATATGTGGGGAATTTTGCAGGTGCATAAAACTGATATTTAAATTTTTAGAGAATTTCATCTACATTTTAATATTATTTGAATTAAACATCTGTAATAGATGGTAGAGAGTTGTTTTTTTTTAAATTCAAGACAAACAGATTTTTATTAAGTTGCTGAGACCTTATTATTTTCAGTTGTTGTGTTAAATTTCTTTAATCTTAGTAAGCAGCAATTTCAATGTTTCATCTACCCAACTGATTGTTATTTCTCCTTAAATACACTGTGGTATTATCTTCTCAGAACAACCACCTTGCGGTCTGCCTCTGACATCCTCTGTTGTATGGAAACTGGCCTTCAATTTGGAGATGTACTATGGCTCACTCCAAATGACGCTACAACTTGGTTTTGCAGAACAAATGCTTGAAGTTTCTCTGTGCACAAGCCCTATCCAGATCAGTCAAACATGGCATGCTTGGAGCAGACACCGGTGTAGCAGGTACTGTTAATCAGGTACCAGTCAGGCACCTGATTGTTATCTCCAGGGGTACCAGAAGCTCAAAACAAGAGTCAGTATCAGAATAACCTGTTTGGCATTGACAGAGAAGATTTGGCAAGTTTTTCACAGGAATCTTACATATTCAACTATGCAGCTCAACCCACAATTGTATTTTTCTTACAAATGCAGTACCACTTAAGAGGACATAAACAGGCTTTCCAATGGTAAAAGATTTATATCAAAGAAGCATTGTTACAGCAATGAAATACACACCCAAACACAAATTTCCTTACCTGTTGAGCTAAGTTTATATTAAAGAATAAAAAAATCCCCATAACTTTTTTCGAAATGTTAATTCAAAAACCCCATTTGCATCTTGTTCTGCCCCGCTTCTGTGTTTATTTCTATTCATCATTTGTAGATGAATACAGAAAAAGATCAATGAGAGGCAAAGTGCAGGGACAGAATAAAAGGCATGGAAATGTGTTCCTGATTGCTGGTTTGCTTGATTCAAGTGCTTTCTTGGACTTTGTGGCTGTTTATATGTGAGAGAGCCAGACGGTCCGAGCTGTAAAGGTGCAATCAAGATGTGCAGGGAGCTGCAGTCTTGGAAAATGGAATACAAGGTTTTTGATGAATGTGTGTGTATGCGTGGATGAAGGGGCTTTGTAAAGGGGTCTGCATAAAAGGCTTTGGTGAGAGCTCTGTCGTGAAATGAGAGCTGCTGCAATCGTGCACAGTCATACTCGCCGTCTCTCTCTCGCTCCCCGTCACTCTCTCTCAGGCACACACAAATGCTCCCAGTGAAACATGTCACTGCCAGGGTATATGAGTTTGTCATGAAGAAACTGGAACATGCACATCTGTTTAAGGGAGATAAGAGGTATGTGTGTTTTTTGGTGGAAAAAAGGAAAAAAATAAAATAAACTTAACTTCTGCCAACCCACTGCACCTGGCAAAACCATTTGGGGATAAATATGTAGCCGGTCCTGATGTGAAAACACACTCTGTCTTTCTGTGCGTATATCTATGTGTGTGTTTGCGTGTCAGCAGCTGATTAGGGCTTAATGTCACCCATTGGGCGGTGGCTTCTTGAAGGCACTGGCAGTTCTCCATCTTGCCTTTTTCTTTTTTGGCTAAACTTTTCATATCCCACGCACCTGCACCATCTTCCAGGTTTTTTTTTTCCAGTCACTCTTTATACCTCCTGTCAACATCCCACTTGCCTGCCCTTGCTCAAAGCTCTATTTTTATCCTAAATGTATATGTTGTGCATCCTGTTGCAGGGACTTCACTGTGAGGAGCTTGACTGGGATGGATGTTGAGCAGTCAGTCTGAACTATGAGGGTCTGTGTAAAGGGATTAGGTGCACTGATATGATTGGAGCTTAATCAGTCTTACACAAAGAGCACACACACACACACACACACATGTGCACAAAATGCACACATGAATTTGCTTCCCAATTTTGTTGTGATGAACGCACACACTTCTAGGTCAATAGGAGCTTTGCACCAACATACTAATCCGCTGTGTCTTTTTGATTTACTCCTGGGGATCAGGCAAAGTTTGCCCGGTGGTTTTTAGCACTTTTCGTGCACACTAGTTGCTCTTTTCGCTCGTTTTTGCCCAGTTTTGAATTTCACTTCCGTCTTAGTTTTATTCACTGAGCAACTGAGGTTAAATGAACGTTAAGTCGGTTCTGCTAAGTTGTTTGCTTCCTTGAGAGGTTTTAGTTAAATTCCCTAAGATGGGAACAAGAGCATGAAATTAGAAAATCCTCTACATCCTAGCAGTTTTGGCGAAAGGGGGTCAGATGGAAGCTGTTGACAGAAGCTATTTTCATAACTTAGGTTTTTAATTATCTGGAAAAAAGGCACTGGGACAAATCACATTATTTTTGGAAACAGCTTAAATTATACCTGTTTTAGTTCCACACCCCTATCAATGTTTAGCCCATTTATATTATACTCTTCAAAATATGGCTGCATACATATATTTACGGAGGTATCAGTTTGCCTAGACTCAGATGAGGATATTTATATTGTATGATGTCTGTGCACTAAATATAAAGCTAAAGTCAGCAGAGCATAAAGGCTTGTAGACTGTAAATAAAAGATGGATGTAGCCCTGTGGTATCATGCACTAGTGAAGTCTGAAGTGTTTTCAGATGTGAATTTAGATGTGATGAGCAATAGGTGGGTCTGACAGAGAATCCAAGGGATTCTGCCTTTTTTATTGTAATGTAATTTCTTTATGTAACATCCACTAGGGGGCTCCCTAGCTGCAAGCGCAGCCACAGTCTTTCTTCAATTATAGCTAGCTGAACCACTTCATCTACGTAGTGAAGTAAGTATATAAGCTAAAAATTTAATGTACGATATAAACACATTTAATTTGTAACCAAAAAATAAAAGGTGAAGATTGACAGATAGATTGCTGCAGTATCTACAGCAGAGGTTCCCAATCCCAGTCCTCGAGAGCTACCGTCCTACAGCTTTTAGATGCATCCTTGTTCCGACACACCTGAATCAAATGAATGGCTTAGGCGTTTGCCAAACTTGATGGCACGCTGAAGAGGTAATCAAACCATTTGATTCAGCTGTGTTGGAGTAGGGATGCATCTAGCTCTCAAGGACTGGGATTGGGCACCCCTGATCTACAGCGATGCAGATGTTGTACTGGTCCGTCGTGAAGTTTTTAACTTTTTCCTCGTTTTATTGGTCTATCTACGTCCATACCCTTATCGATGGCTATGAACTCTGGGTAATGATCGAAAGAATGACATCTTGAGCT